CTGCCGGTTCCTCCAGGACACCGCTGGCCCTCGAGCACGCCCCGCTCCCAGGGAGCCGGGGGAGGGTCCGCCGGGCCCCAGAACCCGAGCGGACGTGTCTGGAATGGGAGCTCGGGGAGTGGGTGGGCGCCTGGCCACCTCCTGGAGGTCTGGTCTCGTGGGCACTGCTGGAGGTAAGCCTGAAACCCATCCAACTCTTCCCAGGCTGCAGGCTTAGGAGATGCCTGGGACAAGGAGACCACCTTCTCCGGGCAAAAGGAAAAGGAGGTGACAGGCGTTGGGACCACTGAGGGGAACCCATGGCTAGGTAAGGCTGCTCACTTCCTTCTCAGCTGGGCTCGGTGCGGGGTGGCCGGCAGGTTGAGGGGTCCTGGGAGGTTGTTAACAGTGAAGCTCGTCCTGGGTCTGCATCTGGACTTTGCATCGGGACACATGGTTGCAAAGATCAAAGTTTCATTCTTTTGAAGGCAGATACAATAGTTTCCAGCCCCTAACCCTCGGCCCAGGTCAGTGCTTGCTCAGCTCAGAAAGGGTTAGACTGTAATATTCTTTCAGATTTCCATTTGAGTGAGACTAGGTTAAAAAAAGATTTTTATTTTGTAATGAACCTTGAAAACAGACTGAGGTCCTTTTGAATCAGTATAGAAAATGAACTTCACAGTTGAATACACTTGTCCAACCATTGTAATAATACTCTGAAGCGTTCAGAAAAGATTAATGTGGATCTGTGGATATGGGACAGTTGTCAAACAGAGTAAGCGGGGAAAGATGCAGAACAGTATATAAGGTGTAAAACAAAACAAAATGGAGATGCATACACACACACACACACACACACACAGATATGTTACCATATATAATATGTATCTATGCTTGTGTATACATAGAATATCCCTGGAAAAATACATAGAAACTGGGTAGTAATGGTTGCCTCTGAGAGGGAAATGGTTGGATTAGGGCAAAAGACTCACTTTCCATTATATATATAAATTGTTTGATTTTTTTTACTGTGTGCATGTATTACCTATTAAAATATTTTTTAATCAGTGCAATACATTTCCTGACTACCCAATTTTTTGGCAGCATTTTTGGTGGGAATGTCGTAGTGCTCTGATTCTTCAACGTTATGAAGTTGCTCAGGGAGACTCGATCTTTTCATTAAAATAAGATTAATTCTTTGAATTGCACCCCAAAGTGCAGACTTGGAAAAAGATCAGATACAGCTTTTCTGACTTATATAGTAGAAGCACCATGAACCATATAGGTCCTTTTCTAAAATTTGAGACTCAAAGAACATTTAAGTTTCTGGTGGCATGAATTTTTGCATTTATTCGGAAGGGCTTTAATCCAGTTTAAAAACTATATTTTAGTACTCAGTTGTAGAGACTTTTCTTACTCATGTTTGTCTCATTTCAGGATCAGTTTTTCCTACCTCTGCCCAGCCTCCTGGTACTTTACTGTGCCCACAGTGAGCCCATTTCCCCGTCAGCGGGTGGCATTCCTAGGACTCTTCTTCATATCCTGCCTCCTTCTACTTATGTTAATCATGGACTTTCGACATTGGGGTGCTTCATTACCACGAGATAGGCAATATGAAAGGTGAGTCAGCTTTAGATCACTTTCCTCAGCTTTGCATTGAAGTCATAAATATTTTGATAAGCTGTTTAACACATGACTACCTTTGACCCTTTTGGGGAAAACTGTACTTTTGTTAGTAAAATTGCATGACACTTATTGCATAACAATCTTGACAATCTTCAGTTTTGATTCAGGAATGATGATGCTGTGTTTTAACCTTGAAAGGCATCTTTCCTATTTTCCTGTTTTTGTGGGCTAACTTATTAGTGCATAAATGTTTACGATTGTTATGTACTCTTGATGCATTGACCCTTTTTATTATTATTGAATGACTCTCTTTATCCTTCATTATATTCTTTGCTATGAAATCTACTGGTCTGGTATTAATATACTTAAGCTTTCTTTTGATTAGTGTTAGCGTGACAGGTGGTTTTCCATTCTTTTGGTTTTAGCCTATTTCAGTTTTTATACTTAAAGTGGGCTTCTTGTAGCAGCATTTAGCTGAGTCTTGCTTTTTATCCTATCTGACAGTGTCTGCTTTTTATTTGGGGCGTTTAAGCCATTTACATTTAATGTGATTATCAATTATGTTTAAGTTTGAATCTATCTTGCTATTTCTTTTCTGCTTGTCATATCTGTTCTATGTTTGTTTTTCCTCTTTTTCTCCCTTCTTTTGACTTGAGTATGTATTATTCCATTTTGTCTCTCTTTTTAAAATTTATTTTTATTGTTGACAGTATTACAGATGTCCCTCATTTTCCCTCCTACGCCCTTTCCACCCACACCTGCCCCACTCCAGGCCTTCACCACACTATTGTCTGTGTCCATGGGCTCTGCATATAATGTTTTGTCTCTTGTTGGCTTATTACGTATAACTCTGTTTTTACTTTTTTAGTGATTACTTTAGGATTTAATCTTGATAGTATACATTTTTAACTTATCATGGTCTACCTTCAAGTAATATACCACTTTACACATATTGTAAGAATCTGCCCTTTTGGCCTTGCCCTTTGTGCTATTGTTGCCATATGTTTTACTTCATATAAGTGCCACCATATATTGTTTTTATTTTTATTTTAAATATTCAAGGTGACTCTAATGTGCAGCTGGAGTTGAGAACCATTGTTCTAAAGTAGTGATTTTCAACTGGTGTGCTGCAAGAATTTTCTTTTTTTAATCCTCATCTGTGGATGTGTTTTCATTGATTTTTAGATAGAGAGGAAGGGAGAGAGAGAGAAACATTGATCTGTTACCTCCCTTACGTACTCCAACTGGGATGGTACCTGCAACCTGGGTATGTGCCCTGACTGGGAATCAAACTCTTCAGTGCCTGAGACAGTGCTCCAACCAACTGAGCCACACCTACTCGGGCACTGTAAGAATTTTTAAGGGCACTGATCTCTTTTCCCTTAGATTGTTAAAATGAAAAAAATGACAATAGCCAACACAACAATAACTGTCCAGTGCAGCGGTTCTCAACCTCTGGGTCGCGATCCCTTTGGGGGTAGAATGACCCTTTCACAGGGGTCGCCTAAGACCATCGGAAAACACATATATAATTACATATTTTTTTAGTGATTAATCACTATGCTTTAATTATGTTCAATTTGTAACAATGAAAATACATCCTGCATATCAGATATTTACATGACGATTCATAACAGTAGCAAAATTACAGTTATGAAGTAGCAACGAAAATAATTTTATGGTTGGGGTCACCACAACATGAGGAACTGTATTAAAGGGTTGCGGCATTAGGAAGGTTGAGAACCACTGGTCTAGTGTGAATGAATCAAAATTATACCTATTTTTTGTCACATTGGCAAAAAATATAATATATGAACCAGGTGGTTACGGTTTGATTCCCAGGCAGGGCACATGCCTGTGTTGCGGCTCAATTCCCAATAGGGGGCAGTCTCATCATTGATGTTTCTATTTCTCTCTCTCCCTTCCCTTCTTCTTTGAAATCAATAAAAAAATTTTAAAAAAATCTTTAAAATTTTCCTTCCAGAATTCCTTTTTTTTTTTTTTTTTTTTTTTTTTTTACGGCAGCAGCTACTGCTTAAGCACAAGTGACCTCTAGCTGGTGATAAAATCATTAAGCAAATAACTAGGAATTGATGGCAACACATATCACTTTAGTTCAACAGCTTATAAAAAAATTTTAAGCTAATGTTTGTGGTTGTGATTTTTTTATTACATACATATAGTCTTATTTTTTCCTACTTAAAATGTTCCTAATTTACACAATGAATTATATATGTGTGTATATATGTATATATACACACGTATATATGAAAGGCTAATATGCAAAGTGTCCCCTCGTGAGTTTGACCGGGAGACCGGGAGTTCGCTCACTTGCTGTGACATGAGCTGACCACCAGGAGGCGGTATGGAATGAAGGAAGGCCCCTGCCCTGCCAGGAGCTGGAAGGCCCCGATTGGCCCTGATCGCTGGCCAGGACTTGGGACCCTACCCGTGCATGAATTTCATGCACTGGGCCTTTAGAGTGTGTGTGTGTGTGTGTGTGTGTGTGTGTGTGTGTGTGTGTGTATAGTATGTGTGTGTATTTTTTTTTTCAGAGAGGAAGGGGGAGAGAGAGAAAGAGAGAGGGAGAGAGAGAGAAACATCAATGATGAGAGAGAATCATTGGTTGCCTCCTGCATGCCCCCTACTGGGGATAGAGCCCGCAACCTGGGCATGTGCCCTTGACCAGAATCGAACTTGGGACTCTTCAGTCCACAGGCCGACACTCTGTCCACTGAGCCATACCACCTAGGGCTATATCAGTGTTTGTGATATTCCACAAAGAGTGAATAGCAGGTCCTCAAGTAACATTGTTTTGTTCAATGTTGATGAGAAAAAAACAATTGATTCCTGGCTGGGGCCACTGTGTGTAGTTTGCATGTCCTGCCCATGTCTGTGTGGGTTTTCTCTGGGTGCTTTGGTTTCCTCCCACCTCCCGAAGATGTGCACATGAGGTGAATTGGATGTCTAAGGAAACCTTTGGAGCAGCGGTTGCCAACCGGTGGTCCGCGGACCACTGGTGGTCTGTGAGATCCGAAAGGTTGGCAACCGCTGGTCTAAATGGTCCCAGTCTGAGTGAGTGTGGGTGTGTGTGACTGTACCCTGGATGGAAGGATGTCCTGTCCAAGTGGGCTCCCGTCTTGTGCCCTCAGCTCCTGGGTGGACTCAATCCACCTGGGACCCTGAACTGGAATCAGCAGGTTGGAGCATGATTATCTTACTTGTTTTTATGAATCTTTCTTAAATATATGTATAGCTTACATTTATTTCAGTGTTTAATATTAGAAGTGTTTTGGGTCTTTATTTAGAAGTTGGTGATGTTTTGGTGGCCAGAAACAATAGGAGCTTAACTCTTGTTTATATCAATTAGCCTATGGTACAACTGGTTTTGCTACATATTCTTTTACTTAAAGTCATCCAAGTTTCCAAGAACGTATCGATGATGTTAAGTGAGGACTGACTGTACTTACTGGTGCCTTCATGGGAGCAAGTTTGGAAAACCTTGACCAAGAAAATATGCCCATAAGAACACTGAATTCATTCTGTGGTCTTGATAAATGATGCATTGCTTTAATTAGAAATTATAATCTCTGTTACACATTGCATCTTTGTACGTATTTTAATATGTATGAAAGTAGCTAATGTTTAAAAAAATCTTAATTTATTTTTGTATTGAAAAAATGTTTTAATTCAAAAAATTTCAGCCATTCATGGAACTTATCACTTCTGGGTGATAACATCCCAGAACTTTATAAGCCTGTGTGTGGGTTTCCCCCTCAGTAGTTTCAAAACTGAGGAGTTGCATTTTTTTTTTCTTCATTATGTGCCCACCCTCAGTGCTTCTGAAAGGAGAAAGGAGGAGTTTGCATTAGAACTAGAAGTTAGGGAAAAGTAAATTTAGAAGAGAGTAATGGGATGTCAGTAAGGATAGAATCCAGAGCTGTTTTGTTTTATTAACAAATGTTATTTTTTTAAGAGCAGTTTTAGGTTTACAGCTAAATTGAGCCTTCCTAAGAAGTTTCAATTCTGCTTAAAGCAAGTCAAAAGAGGCATTATTTTTGGTTAGAAAAAAATTTATTAACTTTAGGCTATTCAGATAAGTTGTGTTCTTATGTACAATAGAACAATTCAGAGATTAAAGGCACTTATTCACATTTATTTATTTATTCTCTTACTTGTCCATTGTAGTATTTATAAGCAGAGCTTTAACATATGAATGTTTCTTGTTAGGAGATAAAGAGTAACCTTACAAGATGCTTTTCTGGGCATGTATTACTAGCATCAGTCATGCACAGCTACTTTGGCTATAATGTTATTATATTTGGTTCTGATCCTTGAACAGAATTGAAGAGTATGTGACATTCAGCAAAGAGCTGGTTGCCCCATGCTGATGAGGGCCACTTTGACTGACCTTTGGCGCATTACTGAGTTCTATTTGAACTCTAGAAGTGGTATAATTAGTTTTGATTTTTGTAAGCTAGGTATTGGTTTGGTCAGTTAGTGCTCTAATGCTGTTAATGTTTTCAGGCTAATGGAAGTGAAAAGCCACTGTCTTCCAATTCTACCTTGGGTGATGTATATGTGGGTAGCTTTCTTTTCATTGACTCAGCAGTGACCAGAGGGAAATCATGCTTCTCAAACAGAGAGAAAATACGTGTGTGAGGGGGAGAGGGGTAAGTGTGTGATGGTCAATCAGATCTCTGGGAAGGTGGATGTGAGGGATTCCAAGGCTTTTAGAACTTTTCTCTTGGGCTTTAGTTCCCCTTCAGGAATCAACTTAGTGCAGCATCAGAAAAGCAGGAGGGTCCACCATTGCAAGTCATTGACCATGATGACTAAGTCCAGGACTGCAGATCCCAAAAAGGACCAGCCATCCATCCACCCATGTCAGGAGCCTAGCCAGAGGAAGACCTTCAGGTGCTTGATAAGCGTAAGAAGCCTTATAGGTCATAAGATGCCAGAGTTCCATAAAGAGGTGATATTACTTCCCAGAAAGGAAAATTGTTCTTCAGTTACTTATTTATATGCAAGATGAGAAAAATGGAGGTTTTCTATTGCCTGAAGCATCGATCAAAGACTCAAATGGGAAGTGTAACCTAAATGCCTCTGGTCCTATCTTTCTCCCTTGTGTTCTAGTATCAGTGGACATTTTTCTGCATACAGGTAGACTCCTAAGGGAAGAGAAAGAAAAGCTGAATTGCACCCAAATTAGAGCTTCAAGTTGTTTATCTTGACAGGAACCAAAGAAGATGACAGGATGCTTTGGGAAGCCGTTGAAACTTTCTAAAAAGGAGACCAACTGATTTTGAGTATAGCAATACAAAGACATCAGGAGTTAGTAACAAAGCAATAGCTCTGTATCGTGAGCTCTAGGACAAGACTAATCAGCATTGATTGATACATATCAGAGAAATGCGAGAGACACTGTGATCATATCAAGGTGCTGCGTATAAGATAACTACTCTTGAGAAACTGATAGCCGAAATGGAGAAGTAGAGCCAACATATGTGAAAGGAGTCTTAGGGGTTCATACTGCAATACAAGTTCTCAAGGGGAATAATGACACTCCACGTTTTACAACAGAAGATGGAGGCCTTTTCAGATCATGTGGCCACTACGAGGATCAGCCACTGTGGAATGGAGGCTTCTTAAGAACTGGGAAGCTTATGTCAAGAAGAGGAAGGGGGATGAACAGGTAGAGAAGCAGATGGATGTTAAGACAGAAAAAAGAGGTCACATTAGAGCATTGGTGCTCAAAGTGTTTACTAACCCTTGAAGTCTCTGAGACAAAATTATGCATGGGTAAAAGTCATTCAAAGTGCTGGATAACCAATGGATTTTAATGTTACGGAGTATAAAACGTTCCTAGATAAGGTTTTAGATTCCTCATTGCAGCTAACTTAATGGTCGGTTGCAAAATAGCAGCCAGGAGCAACAAGGGTTGCTATGATAGGAAATGAATTATCTTGCCTGTTTTCTATCTGTGGTATCTTTCGAGGTCAGTATTTGCAAGAGTTCTGTAATGAACCCAGACCGCTGCCCAGCCTTCATGTGATAGATGTGAGCTGTTCCGAGTTTATTGGTAGATCATGAGCCCAGTTCAGCCCAGTAATTTGATTAGCATGGGAAAGAATGTGGTGAAATGGAATCTTTAGGACTATGAACTTTCCAGTGTGTAACAGATTTTTACCACCTGTTTCATTTCCCATAACTTGCTCTCATATCAAATCCAGAGAAAAGTTCTACCTGACTCTATACTATGCAATAATTTACAACATTATATTGAAGCTTAACTGTATCTTCTTCTCTCTCTCTCTTTTTTTTTTTTTGTTAACCGGAGGATATTTTTCCATTGATTTTTAGGGAGAATGGAAGAGAGAGAGGGAGAGACAGAGAGAAACATCAATGTGAGAGACATCGATTGGTTGCCTCCTGCTTGAGCCCGACCAGGGCCCGAGCCAGGGAGGAGCCTGCAATCAAGGTCCGTGCCCTTGACCGAATCGAACCTAGGACCCTTTGGTCCGCAGGCCGATGCTCTGTGCTCTACCCACTGAGCAAACCGGCTAGGGCTCTTCTCTTTTTAAAAAAATGCATTTTGCATTGTAGAATAGGAAAGGTACTCAGCTCTACTTTTTTGGTTTTAGAACGGTTTTCTTCATGTTCTTCTTTTTTAATCCTCACCCAAGGATATTTTTTAAAAATTTATTTTAGACAGGAAGGGAGAGAGAGAGAAAGGGAGAGAGGAAGAGACATTGATGTGAGAGAGAAATATTGATCAGTTGCCTCTTGTGTGTGCCAGGACTGGGATCGAACCCACAACCTAGATATGTGCCCTGACCAGGAATTGAACCGGCAACCTTTCAGTGTATGGTATGACACCCAACCAATTGAGCAACACCAGCCAGGGCTACATGTTCTTTTTTAACAACTTTTCTTTTTTTGTCCAAAGTAAGGATTTGTGGTCTATATAGCAATATGAAATCACCGGTAAACACAGTCTAGATTGTTCTGAGCGGCATGACATGTGGCTTAGTGTTCTGATCATAGGTGGATTTACTACAAAGCTAATGATACCTACACTTTTATGAAGCTAATTATACCTCCATTTTTAAGGTTCCTCATTTGCATACGCCTCTTTTATATTTGTAATGTTGAATCTTTTTTTTTTTAAAGATGCCCATTCAAATTTAAAAGGCTTCCGAGACAAAATTTTAATCTACCACACAGTATATATTCTTAGCACCAAGAATAGTAATCCTTTACTGACTAATAAGCTAAAAACCATTCTCATGTGGCTCCTTTTCAAGTGAAACTTTTGAGGAGGCAGCAATATTTGTCCTTTTCAGACCCTCAGGCTCTAAGGGAACTTGATATTTTTTAGCCTCAGTGCTCATAAGTATTCACCAACTCTTAACCGTCTTTTCTTTCTGGATTTCTCAGCCCCTTGCTCCAGAGTCTTCTGTTCTTTGCTCTCCCAATGTTATGTGATAAGAGCAGTGGCAGCGGCAGCGCAGCACTGTGCTAACTGCTCCCCATGCCTGCCTCTTTGGAGGGTGGAGACTCCCCTGCCGCATTTTGCAGATGAGGAGACAGTCTGAGAGAAGTTCATTAACTTGCTGAGGTCACGCAGCATGGCCAGTGCTGTCGCTGAGACTCAAACCCGGGTGTTGCTGGTAATATCTCTTACTGGTTTCATCTTCCTGCTCTCAGTCAGATGTCTTGGGATGAGAATCTAAGAAAATCTCAACACAAAGTACCGTCTTAGGGCCTAGAAGCTTTTATTGTTTTACAGTGTAATGTTTTATTTTTAATCTGGGTGTTAGGCACACAGGCATTTTCTTCTTCTTCTTTATATCCTGTGCTACATATTTTATGAACATTCTTTTTATAGCTACAAAACATTTAAGAGATTGTAGAAAAGAACAATTATTATTTTTATGAAATACATTTTTTATTCATGTAATTGTGGCAATTTATTTATTTATTTTTTAATTGTAGCAACTTAAAATGCAAAGCAAAAAGCCCCATAAAAAAATATCACCACCCTGCCCTGGCTAGTGTAGCTCAGTTGATTGGGCGTTGTCCCAGGCACCAAAAGTTTGCTGGTTCAATTCCCGGTCAGGGCACATGCCTGGGTTGTAGGCTCAATCCCCGGTACTGGGTGTGCAGGAGGCAGCCAATTGATGTTTTCTCTCACATTGATCTCTCTCTCTCTCCCTCCCTCTCTCCCCCCCTTTTCCTTCCTCTCTCTCTAAAAGTAAATAAAAATAAAAATCAGAAAACACATGTCATGTCAAGTGATACATCATTCTATAGTGTGTTTATGTTTATATACAGAAAGGATAGAAATTATTAGAATTATTTTAGTTATTTTGTGTGTCTAACAAACCGCCGCAGAAGTTAGTGGCTTATAACAACAAAAACCAGGTACTTACCTGGGCCTAGGAGCTCTTTAATGCTCTGTAGAGCTTGCCACAACCAGTTTCAGAACTGCCCCCAAACATGGAGGAGTCTTTTAGTTATCTAACTTCATTGGTCTCTAGGCAAACAGACCAGCAGTTGCCTCGTATACATCAGGACATATGGTCACTATTGCTTCACTCCTTTGTTAGGACCCATAGCCCTATGTACCTGGCATATGTAGACGTTTGATGAAGATTCATGAACAATGAATTAAATGGTGGTGCCTTTTGTGGACCTGGCTTCTTCACACTGAGCTGTCTTTTTGCCCGGCTTAGGTATTTGGCTCGAGTAGGGGAGCTTGAAGCTACTGATACTGAAGACCCAAATCTAAATTACGGACTTGTCGTGGACTGTGGCAGCAGTGGCTCCCGGATTTTTGTTTATTTTTGGCCAAGACATAATGGGAACCCCCATGATTTGCTGGACATCAAACAGATGAGAGACCGCAACAGCCAACCGGTGGTTAAAAAAATCAAGCCAGGTACTAACCGGAATGTATTTGTTGTCAATCTCTCTTATCTGTTACAGACTTGGGAGAGGAGAGAAGAGATATCCTTTTCTCTTGGGAGTCTGGATAATGGGAGGTATATCTCATTCATTGCCTCCCTCCCTCAATTAAATAAAAGTTTAGGACCTTAAGCAGAACCTGTGGGGAATCAGTTTCTGAGCGCTTCTGAGTGCATGTGATCTGCTTTTTAAAGAAAGTATTTTCTATTTCTGAAGGAATCTCTGCAATGGCAGACACTCCTGAACATGCCAGCGATTACCTTCGTCCTCTGCTGAGCTTTGCTGCTGCTCATGTGCCTGTGAAGAAGCACAAGGAGACCCCCCTCTACATTCTGTGCACCGCGGGCATGAGGCTTCTTCCTGAGAGGTGAGATGCAGGGGCTGAGAAACACGGAAATAGGTGGCAGGAGAGAGGAGAGGCTGATTCCAGGCGTGTCCCTGTGGTTTCCTGGTCTCAAGGTGGGATGTGGATTCACCACAGAGTTGACAGGTGGCACTAAAAGACTCCGTGCTCAAAAATAGGGCAGATCTACCCCTGCACGCAATGATTTCACAGGAAGTTGTTCACACCTTTATGTCATTTGCTTCTTTGGGATCCATATCTATCTGAGATGGCTGTAATGATTCTTAGTTTTGATTGAGGGTTTGGAGCAGTGGTGATGGTGTTCAGTTTGGATCATGAGGCACCCAGAAGGGGAGCATAGTAACAGAACGGTAGTAGGAAGGTCACCCGAGGGACCGGGTACCTGGGGGCTAGTCGGATGGTAGGAGTGCTGCTTTATGTGTAACTGTGCCTGGCTCCCTGGTGATAGTTGGTGCTACATGCAAAGCTCAGGCTTCATTGCTACACTGACCAGTCTTTTCAAGCCCAGCCAGATAAGTCTTTTCCACTTGACCATGGCAGTTAGGCCTGGCATCTTGCTATCTGATCCCTCTTCCCTCACTGGAAGAGGAGGAGGAAGAGGAAGAGGCAGTGGCTATACTTGGGCCAGATCCCTCTTTGTGATGTCTCCCCTTCGACCACCTCCCTGGTCCCTCCACAGATATATGATCATGGGATGGGAGTGAGCTCCCTTAACTTAGAATTCATCCTTCTAGAATGTTCATCATCTCACAGGCATCAGGCATTTTTTCTTGGTAAACAGCAGTTCCCTTTTTCACAGTTTCATTTTGTATACTTGGCCAACAATGAAACGTCAGCTATACATTTAAGGCTGCATGCTGCTTATGCCAGACATGCCAGACAATATAACATATGTCAGCGCTTCTTTCAGTGGACTGTTTCCTTCTGTTGAGACATGCAGCTACTGGTTTACTATCTGGTTTGCTGTCAAGAAGCAGATAATTTTAGACAGCCATTCATCAACTTGGGAGGCCTTCTAGCTCCTTATTTTCCCATCTATCTTGGTCTTTAAAAAAATTTTCTTTTTTAAACTTATTTTTAAAACCAAACTTTAAGTATTATAGCTGCAATCGTACATCATTAAAGGAAATCTTAAAAGTAAAAAAACAGAAAACAAAAAAACAAAACACTTAAAATCGTACTACACTATCAAACTGTTTCATTTTGTCACATTCCCTTTCTCTCTGTATGTAATTTCTACAAAGTTGCAATCATACTGTGCATGCAATTTAGAATTTTTGTTTTTGACATAAGTAATATTTACATTGTTCAAAATTTTAGAAACCCAGGGAAGAGTATAGATCAGCGGTCGCCAACCTTGCGGACCTCACAGACCACCAGTGGCCCGCGGACCACCGGTTGGCGACCGCTGGCCTAGATAACACAGTAGTGCCACATCACAAGTCTGTGAATAGCCTTATTTATGTCTCACCTCGAAGGAGCAGGTAGGAGGGCCAGAGGAAAACTGACTTGGAGGGAAAACATTAGCCAACCAGCAGGGCGATGGTTTGGCCACGTTTTGTGTGTCTGGAGCAAAGGAGAGGATGGCCTCATCTCCTGGCACTCTGTCAAAAAAGTCTGTCCCAGCAAACCCACTATGTTGTTTTACTTCATTTGTCTAAATGTTAACTGTCAGCGTGGAAGCTCTGAACAGTAATATCTATTTTATCTTAAGAATTTTTAAAGAACTTGCCTTTTCTTTTAACTTTTTTTCTGATCACCTCTTTTAATAATGCCTAACTGTATCCTGGGTTATGAAGTCATTGCTACCTCTAAAGCAACTGTAGTTATTGACATAAGTGTAACTACCACTGCAAAAACCTGTTTTGTATAAACGATGTTTTACTAATTTGTTAGCATTTGTAAGCAGTATTCAAAATGGATTTAAATCAGCTGGACTGTATTTTGAATTTATTGGCACTAGGTTTTATTTTTTTGACAAAGGCCTGGACTAGTAGACTGTTTCACCAACCTTTTATTTTGTAATAAAAAAAGCCTTTTAAAAATTATAAAGCTAATACAAGGTGATATTTAAGGGGAAAAAAAACCTTTTTTATTATGGGAAATTTCAAACATATATAAAAGTAGAGAGAACAGTATAATGAATCCCCATTAACCCAGCTTCAACAGTTGTTAACATTTAGCCATTAAACGTTTTTTAAAAAAACAACTTAGAAAATGAAAGTTAGTGTTTTGTTTTTTAATATAAATTGGAATCATAGCATATGTTGTTTTGTAACCCATTACAATTCAAAATATATTGGACAGATTTTCATGTCAATACATGTAGATATAAATTGACCTCATTTCTTTTAAAATCTGTATAGTATTATATTGTGTGGATGTACTGTAAATAATTTAACCAATTCCTATTGATGTAATTTAGGCTACTTCCAATTTTTCATTGTTATAAATAATGCTGCAGTATTTTTCCTCTTTGTATTTTTATTTGATGATGTCCTTGCAATAAATTTCCAAAAGTGTAATAGGTGGGGCAAAGACTAAGGACATTAAAATTTTTGATAAGTAGTTCTGGATTGCCCATTAGAAAGGTTGTACCAGTAATTTTCATTCCAAACAGCAGTGTATGTTGGTGCCCCTTCTTCCATATCATGACTAAAACAAGCAAGCCCTCTTCGTTGGGTAGTTAAGAAGCATAACCAATAGGGAGAGTAAAATAGCACCTCCTGTTCCCAATGTGAAATCCATGTTGCATGAGTTTTATATGTATAACAATGAATTTTTTTTAGAAACTATACTTGACATTATATTGGAAGATTATTACATTAAATTCTTCGCTTTGAAGTGCTAACAACATACTTTACTAAGTCATGCTGACAACTATCTGAGCCAATAGAATATTTTTGTAATGAGTAATTTTAAAAATACAAAATAATTGGTCTTATTTTTTTAAAAAATATATTTCATTGATTTTTTTACAGAGAGGAAGGGAGAGGGGTAGAGAGTTAGAAACATCGATGGGAGAGAAACATCGATCAGCTGCCTCCTGCACCCCGCCCAGTGGGGATATGCCCGCAACCAAGGTACATGCCCTTGACCGGAATCGAACCTGGGACCTTCAGTCCACAGGCCGACGCTCTATCCACTGAGCCAGACCGGTCAGGGCATTGGTCTTATTTTTAACCAACATTTTTCTCTAGATTCTTATTATTACTTCTAGCTTTGTTTCTTTGCTCTTTGTCTGATAACATGATGATATAACACTGTAGAGGAAAAAACTACCCTATGGATACTAGGCTTCAAATGTTAATCCCAAGTTGTTACAATCTTTGGATTTTGATCCTGATTTGGGGTTCTCAAATGATAAGATTTTATAAAGAAAAATAATTCAACCATGAAATATAGAAAAGGAGATTAAAAGTTTATTGTAAGCTTATGTGCAGGATTATGTAAAAACCTGTGGCCTGACAGTGCTGCTTCTGTGGAGAAGTGAGGCATTGTTTCTGAGACTGTGCTCCGAGGTGTAGCAGCTTTCTTTCATAGTAGTTAGGAGTCATGTAATTATAGCTATTTTATAGATTGCAAAACTGTACTTCACCTTCCTGCGGTTTATGTAGCCTGTGAGAGGCATAGAACCATAGTCTCATCGTCACTCTGACTTGTAACATTATATAAAGAAAATGTATTACTATTGCCTTTTAAGTCAGAGGCTATATTTTGGAGGCAGTTGAAACCTTTGGAATCAAAGGAGCTACCATAGAAAAGCAGGCCTGACAAGGGATGGGGTGGATGAGGTCATAACAAGGCTATGAGGAAGGTCAAGATGAGACTGTTTGTGAGAAGAGAATTTAACAATTACTTTTTGAACTTTTTGTTCTCTCTTACAGGAAGCAGTTGGCTATCCTGGCTGACCTAGTGAAAGATTTACCACTGGAGTTTGACTTCCTCTTTTCACGGTCTCAGGCAGAAGTGATCTCTGGGAAGCAAGAAGGTATTGGGCCCTGAGGGGCACGCTGGTCCACCTCCCAGCCAACCATGACCTAGTCTCTCTAACGGGTGTTTAGGATTATTTTATATATCTGATTTTTATTTTTCTGACAAAACTTTTCTTGATTATGCTATCTAGTTTATTTGCATACTATGCATTGGTATTTGCTTTAGAATGCTGCCCTCTAGAAGTCATAAATTTATATCGTTTTTAACTTTGTGCTAAGGACTATGTTTATAAGAATGTATTAGTATTTAATGGTGATTCCAAATGGATCTTTGGTTACCTATTAGTAGTTTTGAAAACATACATACACCTAAGGGTTGTACTAAGTTTGCCAAATTCGAATGTAAAGCAAATTATGAGTTTAAAAGTAAGGGGAAACTTTAATCTCAGGCACTGATCAAGATGAGTTACTTTTTTGTTAAGGGCTCTCCCTTTTTTACACTTACAATGCAGTATAGATGCTTCCTAAAAACCCACACTATTGGCTTTGTAGTTTTGAGGTGGAGTTGAATGTGTGTTCTCACTGTGGCCTATATGATATGATGAATTATATTTCATTTCTTGAAAAAGACTTCTAGTTGCCGTCTACATAAGGGAAAAGATTTACCTTTTTCAATTTCAACATTGCGTTTTTCAGCCCTAAAATTTTCATTTGGCTCTTTTTCTGTTTCTTTGTTGAGACATTCTGCCTTTCCATTCATTATAAGACTGATTTTATTTCTTTGTTATGTAGCTGTTTTAATATCTTTGTCTGATAATTCTAACGTCTCTGTCATATCAGGGTTGGCATCTTTTGACCATCTTTTCCCTTATGAGTTGAGATTTTCCTAGTTCTTTGTATGCCAAGTAATTTTATATTATATCCTGGGCATTTTGAATATTACATTATGAGACTCTGGGTCTTGTTTCACTCGTAAGAAGAATATTGATGTTTGTTTGAGCAGATAGTTTACCTAGCTTGGTTCTGGCCTCAAGGTCTGACCTGCCTTCTGTGGGCTGTGATTCTATTGGTTCATTTTCAAAGCCATGGCACTGTTATTGAATTTGTCCCATGCATGTGCCAGGCGTTGGCCAATCCATAGCCTGGGCTTAGCCCATACAAATTGGTTGTCTAGCCCCTACCTCAGTTCTCAACACCTTTGATATATTGTTTAGAGTCAGATCCATGCATGTGTAGCTTGGAGGTGAGCCCAGGAGTTCACCACTTTATTTCTTCTCTCCACGATCTCCCCAACACTTTCCATTTCCCCAGGGCTCACTGTCATGGTCCTCCGGTTAGAAAGCTAGAGTTTTAATTTGTCCGCTCTGCCATGCATTCCCATGATGTGTCTGCATCCAGGGCCAAGTGGTGGAGGGCAGAGGGGAAGAAATAAGCAATAGGGATTTGCTGCAACTCTTAAGGCTACAGTTACTTTGATCAAAAAGGACTCACATCCCTCGCAGTTTTAGGAACCTGCCCAATAGTCACCTCTGCTGCCGAAGGATTGCCCGGTGGGAGAGAACAAAATTAAGGAAAAAAAGCAAGGGATTTTCCCCACTCTCCCTAAACCTTTGGAGTCCCCTCTCCTGCTCCTCAGAACAGAAAGCAAGGACTTAAAGTTCTTTCTGTCCACACTGGCGTGTACTTCGTGTTTCAATCAAGCTGCCTGTGAGTCCAGGCCAGGCAATGTAAGAGAAAAAAATGGGACGCTCATGACTGGTTTGGTGCTTCTTTAAATTCTGATCTCTGTCCCAGTGTGTCTACTGGCATTTCTTTCAGACTTCTCAGAAAGCTGCCCCCGACATTCTCTCCAGAGTTTATATTTGTATTCAGTGGGGAGGCTGGTGGAATGTGCTTACTCTATCTTGTCCAGAACCAGAACTCCAAGATTTACTTTGTGTAATGTTTGTTTCTACACAATAATTCCTATTCATTGTAGGAAATTGAGAAAATGCAAATGGTTTTAAAAGGAAAAGCATCACAAGATAAAAGATTTTACATTAATACATTGAGAGTGTAGAGTAAAATACTACTAGCACTCTTTTTCCAAGAAAAGGAGAATAGAGCAGCCCTGCGAGAGAGAGGTGCATGCATGCTGTAGCATTCGAGAACTAAACGAGGGCTTTTCTCTTTCTCTCCTAGGGGTTTATGCATGGATTGGAATCAACTTTGTTTTGGGAAGATTCGACCATGTGGATGGTGAGTAATGTTTTCTTATGAAGTTCTTTAAGTAGGACTGAAGGTTTAAATCATACCCTACCAGTAGCATATAAGCACTAATGTTGGGTTGTTTTTCTTTTTTTAAAACTTAAATTGCAAAAAAAATACATATAAAAAAAAACCAAAAAACTTAAATTGCTTCATTTTCCAGCCTAATTTGCTTTCTTTTATTTCTTTTAACTTTTTTTTTTTTAATTAAATCTTTATTGTTCAGGTTACATTTGTTCCTCTTTTTTTCCCCCCTCATAACTCCCCTCCTCCCAGTTCCCGCCCCACCCTCCGCCCTCACTCCCCACCCACTGTCCTCGTCCATAGGTGCACGATTTTTGTCCAGTTTCTTCCCGCATCTCCCATTCCCCTTTCCCCGCCAAGAATAGTCAGTCCATTCCCTTTCTATGTCCCTGATTCATTATAATCACCAGTTCATTCTGTAAATCAGATTATTTATTCACTTGATTCTTAGATTCACTTGTTGATAGATGCATGTTTGTTGTTCACAATTTGTATCTTTACCTTTTTCTTCTTCCTCCTCTTAAAGGATACCTTTCAGCATTTCGTATAATACTGGTTTAGTGGTGATGAACTCCTTTAGCTTTTCCTTATCTGTGAAGCTCTTTATCTGACCTTCAATTCTGAATGATAGCTTTGCTGGATAAAGTATTCTTGGTTGTAGGTTCTTGGTATTCAGCACTTTGAATATTTCTTGCCATTCCCTTCTGGCCTGCAAAGTTTCTGTTGAGAAATCAGCTGACAGTCGTATGGGTATTCCCTTGTAGGTAATTGCGACTCTTTCTCTTGCTGCTTTTAAGATTCTCTCTTTGTCTTTTGCTCTTGGCATTTTAATTATGATGTGTCTTGGTGTGGTCCTCTTTGGATTCCTTTTGTTTGGGGTTCTCTGCGCTTCTTGGACCTGTAAGTCCATTTCTTTCACCAGGTGGGGGAAGCTTTCTGCCATTATTTCGTCAAATAGGTTTTCAATATCTTGCTGTCTCTCATCTTCTGGCACCCCTATTATTCTGATGTTTGTACGCTTGAAGCTGTCCCAGAGGCTCCTTACACTATCTTCGTATATTCGGATTCTTTTTTCATTTTGCTTTTCCGGTTGGGTGTTTTTTGCTTCTTCGCATTTCAAATCTTTGACTTGATTCTTGCGCTCCTCTGGTCTGCTATTGGGTGTCTGTATAATATTCTTTATTTCAGTCCATGTATGCTTAATTTCTAGTTGGTTCTTTATCATAGCATCGAGGGTCTCATTAGTTTTCGTGACTCTCTCCTCAAGTTTATTGACAGCTTCTAGCACATTTTTGCAAGCCCTCAGAATTGCGATTTTTAGCTCTATATCCTCCATTTCTGTCATGTTTTTTGTCTCCGCATTTTTTATGCTTTCTTGGTGCACCCCCTAGTGGTCTTTGTGCGCAGTCTTGTTCTAGTTGAGCCTTGATTGTTGTAGTTAATACTAGAGGGATTTGACCACCAGGCCGACTGGCTGTGTGAATCAGCTGTGTCGGCCGCGGAAAACTTCTGTCCTCTGGGGAGGGGCTAATCTAGCCTTTGCCTGAGGCGATCCGGCAAATGGCTCTGCGCAGGGCTTGGGCGGGGCGGGATCAACAGGGCAGGGCGGGGGGAGGGAGCGGTTATGGCTGCCCTCAGTCCCGTTCCCAGAGGCTCTGCTTCTCAGAACCCCAGGAACCGCTGCAAACCTCGGAGAGAAAGCTGCCTTCCAACAGATGCCAGACACTCCCGCTTCTCCCGTTTGAGTCCGAGTCCCCAGCGATTCGCCCGTATCTGGAACTCAGAGTCTGAGCCTCCCCCCTGACCGAAAACGACAACCGCGCTCTCAGCCACCAGCCCGCTTTGCGCGCGCACCTCCACACCTGAGTATTTTCCACGCTGCGCCTCCTCTGAGCCTCGGTGTGCTGTTATTTTTCCTTCTAGTTGAAGAGTCTCTCCTCAGCCAGCCTTCCTGTGGTTCTGGGGGATGTCCGTTCTGTCTTTTAGTTGTATTTTTGAAGTGGTTGTTTGCGGCAGCAGTCTCCGGGGTTTACCTATGCCGCCATCTTGGTCTCTCCCCCTCTTTTAACTTTTTAATATGGAAAGTTTCAAACTATCACAGAAGTAGATTAAATAATGAAATGAATGAACCTCTATGAATCTGTTACCCAGACTCAACACTTACTAACATTTTGCCATTTCTGTCCCCACACTCCCTCCATACAACACAAGTTTTTTTTCCTATTGGATTATTTTAGAACAATAAACACCTTTATTACATGAGTTAAGATGGGAGGAGGATATATTTGCCCTTGTGGGCCTCATCCGAGGTTATGTTTTTTATTGATTTGAGAGAGGAAAGGAGGGAGGGAGGGAGGGAGGGAGGGAGGGAGAGAGAGACATGGATTAGCTATGAGAGAGAGAGAGAGAGAGAGAGAGAGAGAGAGAGAGAGAGAGAAACATGGATTAGCTACCTGTCATGTGCGCCCCAACTGTCCCCTTGTTTGTTTTAGAATCAGATGCTGAAGCCCCGCAGGAATTGGCAGCAGGACGCAGAAGGACAGTAGGAATACTGGATATGGGAGGAGCCTCTCTCCAAATTGCTTATGAAGTTCCTACCTCAACCTCAGTCCTTCCTCCAAAACAGGTATTTTACCTTTTAGGGAAAGTCACTGGGAATGTCAGTATTTAAAAAAGAAGAGCACTGTCTTTGGATTTAAAAAAGAAGAGCACTGTCTTCGGATTTAAAAAAGAAGAGCACTGTCTTTGGATTTGTACCAGATATTTGGTACAAATATTTGTTCAGAGACTTGCGAGCTTATGTTCTTTCTCTGAGCCTTAGTTTCCTAATATATAGGAAGGGAACAACAGTAGTATCTACTTCATAAAGTTGTGAGGATGAAATACATCCATGAGTGTAAAGCACTAAGCAGACTGGCAACCATATAATAAGTGTTTAATACATTTTAGCAATTATAAGTATACTGCCTGTCTCCTAAAGTTGCCTTAGAGTTAATCATGATAATGCATATACATCCCAGAGCACAGTGTTCGGTACATACTTGTTCATTAAATTTATTCCCTTCTTCATTAAATGACTACCAAATGATCTTTTATTACCAATGATTTCATTCTTATATTTCTTACCTGACTAGAATGTAAAGAATGTACTTTGAGCCCTGGCCAGTGTGGGTCAGTGGTTGAGCATTGTCCCATGCACCAAGAGGTCACTGGTTCCATTCCCAGTCAGGGCACATGCCTGGGTTGTGGACTTGATCCCCAGTAGGGGGCGTGCAGGAGGCAGCTGATCAATGATTCTCTTCATTAATGTTTCTATCTCTTGCTCTCTCTTCCTCTCTGAAATCAATGAAAATATAAAAATAAAATAAAAATAAATCTTAATCTTAAATGCCTAATGTATTTTTTATACAATTCACAAAATTGTGCACATTCACAAAACTATGCAACCAAATGAAACTTCATATTCATTATTAGTCATAGATAGATAGAGCACCTTTTCAATGGAGGTACAATAAAATTGAACTTTCCCAATTCCAATGTCACAGGGAACATTAGGACTTCTTGAATAGTTTCAGAAAAGGCCATAGAATACATCTCATGATGATTTCCCAAATTCCTTAAATTTATTTTTTTCAAAGGATTTTTTTCTAATTATGAAAACACTACATTCCCATTTTAGAGAATTGGAAAATGAGAAAAGTACGTGCAAGATAATGACATCTGTAGTATTTCTACCTTCTATATAACTACAAATTGTGTTTTAGTCTCTAACTTGGTATTTAGCCTCCCTGATCTGTTCTTTTTTATACAGTCTTGTCACTTTATGTTTTTGTTTAAAATAATGCTATGAGGATGAAAGAATGTTACAAGATATTTTAAATAGTCATATCAAATGAAGCCTGATGTATAGCAATGTCATAGCTTTCTAGAAATCAACCTAAACTAAAATTCCCTTTTCCCCTTTTCATTGTATTACAGGAAGAGGCTGCGAAGATCCTGCTGGCTGAATTCAACCTGGGCTGTGATGTGCATCACACCGAACATGTATATAGGGTTTACGTCACCACCTTTTTGGGTTTTGGGGGCAACTTTGCCCGACAGCGCTATGAAGACCTTGTGCTGAATGAAACGCTTCACAAAAACAGGTACGTTTGACATGGGATCTGTGCTTCCGAAATAGAATGTTGTCAGATTGCAGATATTAGAAATATTCATATCCTACTAAGATACGTCCTTGCTTTCTCCTTCCTGACCAGCCCTGCCAATGGGGTAGCATCTCGTAGAGACCCTCCGGTAGTTGATCTGGTAATTGAGACCCTCTGGTAGATGATCTGGGTGAGAGTGCATTCTAATCTTTGTTACATAATAGGATCCATAAAAAAGTACAGCAGCTTATTGTGGTGACCTCTTGCTGTGTCTCACTTCAGACCTCATGGGATTGAGATTAAGTTGTTAATTTTAAATGTGCAGTATAATATAGATCCTAGCAGTTCCTTCTACATGGAAATGCTCAAGACATGCTTGTTGAATTACAGTGTAGTTGCATGTTTTGCGGGAGTTAGGTTCTGTAGTGTGCTTAAAAGATAAAAAGCATGTGTAGTCAAAATTAACCTTTAAGTTATTCTCTTGTTATTTCCAGAATGGCAGTTTTCCTTCAGCCTGGACCAGATCACTGATTTTTTAAAATTTTATTTGAGTACCAGATAAAGTAGTTAGGCCATAATGTACAAACAATTGTGGGTTTCTTTAGCATTAAAAATTATTTTATAGTCCTAGCCGGTTTGGCTCAGTGGATAGAGCATCAGCCTGCAGACCAAAGGTTGCAGGCTCCTCCCTGGCCCAGGCCCTGGTCAGGGCTCATTCAGGAGGCAACCAATCAATGTGTTTCTCTCACATCGATGTTTCTGTCTTTCCGTCTCTCTTCCACTCTCTCTAAAAATCAATGGAAAAATATCCTCAGGTGAGGATTAACAACAAAAATAATAAATAAATAAATAAAACATTTAAAATTATTTTATTACCCCAATTTGTTTAGCTAGAAACACTACTTTGAAAAGGTATTGATATATCCCATTTGTAGAAGTACTGGTATATGTTAGTTTTCTACAGCTCTAAATTATGTTGGGAGCATGTTAAAAAATATTGTCTCATAAATCTTTAAAGTTTTTGTAAGAGTTCAAGAAATTTTGGGAGAATCCTGTTATCCTGGACACTTGATAAATGCATTGAAATTAAGCAGTGTGTTTGTATTCTGAAAATATTCTTAAATCCATACAAATGTTACTTGGGTTATGGAGCTCTATGTCTGCTGGCACTATGACATCTGAACAATTATTATGAAAGTTTCACACCAATTTTGTTTTGTTCCTTCTTCGTTAGTCACTGTGCTTCCTTTTCCATTTTCTTCCTTTGTTGTTCTGCTGCTCTTTTTTTCTGCGTCTGCTGTTTTCTACCTCAGACTTTGCCAGGCTGCATCGTCTTCCCACACATTGGCATTTCTTGCCATGTATCTAAATCATCTGGTAATTCACATAAGTGATTATTCACCTTGTGTGGTTGCTAATCTATCAGAGAAACCTGTGCTTCCTGAGATGTCAAAACTTCCTGGTTCTATCTTCTTAAAACGATTTTCTAAGTTTTCCTTATAGTTAGTGTCACATCCCTAAAATAGGTTCCAGTTGCCCAAGCATTTTGTTGTGTTGCCACATTCCCATTCTCTTTTTCAGTCTTTATCCTTGTGTGTGCATCCTCATCTCAGGAAGTCCACTCTTCATGTCTGTCTGTTTAGGAACTGATGCATAGTTAACCACAGTTGGCGGTTACTTGGTCTCCACTTAATTTTCATCCCTGCCAAGATCTACATTTTTTAAAAAAAATGTTTTTATTGATTTTGGAGGAGGAGGGAGAGGGAGAGAGAGAGAAACATCAATGATGAAAGAGAATCACTGATCAGCTGCCTCTACTGGCACGCCCTCTACTGGGGCAGGAGCCCACAACCCGGGCATGTGCCCTGATCTGGAATCGAACTGTGACTTCCTGGTTCATAGGTCAATGCTCAACCACTGATCCAGACAAAGATCTGCATATTAATCTCCTCAGGAATGAGAATACTGTCGCTCTTGGCAAGTATAGACTTTAACCAGAACTGTGTGATGGCCCTTCCCTACCCAGTCACAGCAATAGTGTACCTCACTATTGCCAGCCATTTTAAAAAAAATTCTCACCTGAAGATATGTTTTTCATTGATTTTAGAGAGAGGAAGGGAGAGAGAAACATTGATACAAGAGAAACATCGATTGGTTGCCTCCTATACATGTCCCTTCAGTGTATGGGACGATGCTCCAACCAACTGAGGCACACCGGCCAGGGCACTATTGCTAGCCTTTGACACTGCACCCCTCCAGGTCCTCTCCTGAGGAAACTCCCCAGTCCCTCCCACTTCCCCTCCTTCCAGTAGTTCTTTTAAACATTAGAACCACACTAGGCAGGGTGAGATCTTTGCATTTTTAAGAGGCAAGTGGGAATGAAGACTGGATGAAGAATAGCAGATTCACATCTCCAGTTTTACTTTACACTGGGAAATATACATGTTGACTAAAAGGTTGAACAAAATTGATCACTGCCACATTTCTCTCTTTTTCCTTTTTTTTTTTTGCTAAATTGAATTTGCTTAAATTAAATGTTCATGTGACTCAACTACATGGTAATACTCTATCCTCATTTCTGGGGAGGTCGTGCAAAAGAGCAACTAGGTATCCATGAAGCACATTCTTAAGCCAGGTTTCTTCAACTAGGCGTTTCTTAGAGTAGATTGAGTACAGTAGTGATGATGTGTTTTGTTGTTGTCACTGCAATAGGTTGTTGGGCCAGAAGACAGGTCTGAGTCCTGACAGTCCATTTCTGGATCCTTGCCTGCCCGTGGGACTCACAGATGTGGTGGAGAGGAACAGCCAGGTCCTGCATGTCCGAGGAAAAGGAGACTGGTCGACTTGTGGGGCAATGCTGAGCCCCCTGCTGGCTCTCTCTAACACCAGCCAGGCCTCCCTGAATGGCATCTACCAGTCACCAATTGACTTCAACAACAGCGAGTTCTACGGTTTCTCTGAGTTTTTTTACTGCACGGAGGATGTGTTGCGCATCGGTGGCCGCTACCATGGGCCAACATTTGCCAAGGCTGCTCAGGTAAATTATTAATAAGAAAGATGACTCAGGCCACCAGTGGCTATTTATTGGATGCCTAATTTTGCTCCAGGTGCTATGCAAAGAGCTTTGCATGCATGGTTTCACTTGACTCTTTACAGGAGCCCTATGAACTCTCATTTTACAGGTGAGGAAGTGTAGTATTTAGAGGAATTAAGGAATTTGCTATGCTATTCTACCTTCAATTAGTTAAGCTTAGCTTCCCAGAGTGTCCTCTCAGCCAAAGTATCACCCAGCTCCAAAATTGTTGTGGCAGCTAATAGTTTTCCTCTAACTCACCAATAGTCTTGTTTAATGTTTGTGGCCAAGTAGTGTCATCTTTAGATATTTTTCCCTACTGGGTGTTTCCAGTTGTAATGTGCTTTTGGAGATGATGTCACACAAGTGGACAAGTCCATTTTCACTTTCTTGGTTTGAGCTATTAAAAAGTTGAAGTGGTATACGGTCACTGAGAATATTAGAAAGATGTGAAAATGTGCAATGATGGGGGAAGTATTCTTTAAATTTAAATTCACTTTGAACATATATAAGACTCAAGCATCCTATAGGCTTAAATCATTAGTTACCTGGACAGGTGAAAGTTCAACTAGCTTTCTGTAGTTCCTGCTTTAATTTAGATTCATCACTTTGAATTTTTGTGTAGACTTCTCTGATCTCTCTCTTATCAGAGAAATTTGTGGGAAGAAGCTGTTCTCTCTTATATTTTTTATCTTTCCCTTCCTGCTTTCTTATAATTCTCTAGGGTTCTCTTGGTGGAAGACTTCCAATGGAAGAATATGTGTACTATTCTGTTCCCTCAAGGCAGTCCTTAAGAAATATTGAGGAAAACCTGGTTCATGTTTGCTTTGTCCTCTCCAGTCTCCAGGATTACCCTCATATTTCCTTTTCTTTCCCAGCGTCCAAGGGCTCCCTAACTGTCCATGGCCTGAATCTTTCTCTCATTTTAAAACTTCAAATTTTTTTCCCCTTGACCACTGCTTACCCAAGTTGGTAGTGGCTTAATATGTTCTCTTTCCCAGGTAAAAGAGATGATTTTATTTTTATTCCCTTATTCTTTTTCACTTTGACTCTTATTTTATCTTCCCGATGATACCTTCCCTGGCCACCACAGCCAAAATTGCAGGCCTCCCCAGTATTACCTATTTCCTTTTCCTGATTTATTTTTCCTGTGAGCATTTATGTCATTTAACACATTCTGTACGTGTACATGTGTACGTATGTATGTATATTTAGTTACTAGAGGCCCGGTGCATGAAATTCTTGTATGGGAGGCGGTGAGAGGGAGCCCCTCAGGTCGGCTTGTACTCTCTCACAATCCAGGACCCCTCAGGGGATGTCTGACTCCCAGTTTAGGCCCGATCCCGCATCGGGCCTAAACTGGCAGTCGGACAATCCCTCTAGCAATCCGGGACTGCTGGCTCCTAACTGCTCGCCTGCCTGATTGCCCCTAACCACTCTGCCTGCCTGCCTCATCGCCTCTAACCCCTCTCCCTGCCTGCCTCATCATCCCTAACTGCTCGCCTGCCTGCCTCATTGCCCCTGTTTCTGCCTCGGCCCCGCTGCTGGGGCTTCATCCGGAATGATGTCCGGAAGGTCGTTCGGCTGTCTGGTCTAATTAGCATATTATGCTTTTATTATTATAGATTGTCTCCCACCACTAGAATGTAAGCTTCTGAGAAATGAAGAAATTCAACAGAAATTTTTGTCTGTTGTATTTACTGCAGATCCCCTGGCACCTGTAATAGCACCTGGCACATAGTGGACATTCAGGAAATGTTAGTTTACAAACAAAGCAAAAGGAATGATTCCTTTGGTGAGAATTATCGCATGGAGGCAGTGCTAGGTGTTTGACGATTCTGTTCCATCTGCTCTTCCTGCTCGTGTCAGTCCTTTGTAGAGTAGAATGACGCTCTCTTCGAGTTCTGATGTTGATATTTCTGGTCCTAACCTTACCCCTCTCTGAGGCCTACGAGGCTTAGGAGTCATCTCAGGCTGGCTTTGTACTGGACTTGGAGGTGCTAGGAATAAAAAGGAGTATTTCTAGCCCGAGTCCTGGGACTTGCGTTGCACAGGACCTGGCACAGTGTTCAGTGAATGAATATGCCATTTATGATTTCCTTTGTCAACTAGTAGCCCACAAGCCACTTTAGAAATGGAACAGCTGTGACTGTGGGGGAAGTTTATAGAGTTTGCCTCCAATTTCATGTTGCACAATTTCTCTGTGGTCATTCCAGGACTACTGTGGCATGGCTTGGTCAGTACTAACTCAGAGATTCAAGAATGGCCTTTATTCATCACATGCAGATGAGCATCGACTCAAGTAAGTAATTTCCTTTTCCCCCTTACTTGTGGCCTTAAAATGTAGATAAAGTGTAATGAAGGAGAGCAAGCGAGCAATACTAGATTGGATTTTATGTTGAAGGAGAATTTGAATATATCAGATTTTGGTTTTCTTAGTGATAGGGGCCGAATAATGAGCCTATTTTAGCAAGGCCAAGGGAAACCAGTGGTTACCAGAGTTCACACCAAGTGTTTTGAAATAAAAAGTGATGGCCTTTTTTTTAAAAAAAAAAAAACTTTATTAAAATACAAAATATGCAGAAAAGTAGACATAACTAACATAAACCCTAATGTAACTATCACCTAGCTTCAACAAATGTCAGCTGGTTTCAGTGGTCCTCTCATTTTGTAAATATTTTAGTTTAAAATTTTAAACACATGAACAAAAATAGTACAATGAAATTCTGTGTACCTCTCTATCACCCAGCTTCTCTACTGGCCAATCTTGTCTCATCTATTTTCCCACCTACAACTCCCTTCTTGTCATAATTGGGTTATTTTGAAGCAAATCCCAAACTTCATAATTACATATGTAGATATTTCAGCATGTTGTCTGAAGATAAGAACGCTTAAAAAAAAAAAGAAAGAAAAAGAAAAGAAAAACATAGCCATGTTATTATTACTGCAGAAAGGTGTTCTTCACATTTGTGGTGTTAAGTTAAAGTAGACTCAAATTTGGCTCCACCTAGCGGTGAGGAAGGTGAAGCTGGGAGAGAGATTTTTGACATCCAGTGGGAGTATGCAAAGGAAAGCATTAGAATTGTTTTACTTCTAATGTAAAATTTTATTGATGAGTTATTTTTGTCACACAGATATCAGTGTTTTAAATCGGCTTGGATGTACCAAGTCCTTCATGAAGGATTCCACTTTCCCTATGACTACCCAAACCTACGGACAGCCCAGCTGGTATATGACCGGGAGGTTCAGTGGACGCTGGGAGCCATTCTGTATAAAACACGATTCCTACCACTCAGGTAAGGTGGACTAACAAAGCTGGTGTCTTGAGCTCAGAATAGGTTAGTTAGTGCCTCAATAGGTTTCTTAAGCGACACCTCCCACAAACAAACAAACAAGCAAGCAAGCAAACTCGCTTTATTCCTACCAGGTGGGCTGCTCTTACTATGTTGAAACAGAAAGAAGGTTGAGCATTATGGGTCTGGAGTCCGTTCCTCAGCTTTGCACTTTCAGAAATTCAGTTTTATTTGTTGATCCACCACAAATCAATCTTTAGGGTTGAGCTCTCACTAACCACTTCCAAGACACTGAGAAACTAAAACGGCATTCTTAAATTACCCTGGAAAACATATCTGACCAGAAAACTGGGGTAGGCTGTCTGTCCAGAGCCATCTCTCCTAATGACCAATGCCAGGCTAGAGATGGTGCCACTGCCTCGAAAGCTTTCGGTGGGCCTGAATTCCAGCAGAAGGTACGAGATGCTCCGAGGGGGGAAATTTTCATCACACAATCATGGCCTGATGTCTTGCTGTTGTGAACCAGAAGGTATTTGGGATAATCTTTAGGTACTCTCTCCCTGGATTATTTCAAAACTAAAATGAATTCTTATTTTTTGATGCCTGTTTCACTAAACTCAGTACTGTCAAAAGCCTTGCAGGTGATAGAAGTCAGAGAAGTGGGGAACTGGAGAGTGTGTGCCCTCTGCGAAGGGCTGGCCCCTGTCATGCAGAAGTGATGGCCCAGCATTTGCCACTTCTCATTTGTCACGAGAAGCCAGAAGTCCAGATTTTATATGCAGTCTTTCAGTTTTGAGAGTCACATTTTAAAAAACAGTAACACTGCAGTTCAAACAAAACAAAAACCCATCTTTTATCTGGACCGCCAGAGAAGGGCTTCTGTTCCAGACAGGCAGGCAGACCACTGCACTTAGCTTTCCATGTCTCTTAATGTTTGTCCAGATTACAATAGAATTGATCAGACGACAGCTTTCTTTAGCCATAACCTAACTTTTCAGAAAGCATAGTAACTTTTAAAAAAGATTTAGACATACTCTGATTTCATATACAGTAGGTCCTCGGGTTACTTCAGAGATTCGTTCCTACGGCATGACGTAATGCGATTTTCGCAGTAAGTTGGAACCCACCTACATAAGCACCTACGTCACTCACATGGAGCACATACACAGCAGTAATGAGGTGAAACAATAAAAAAAAATTTTAAACTCCTGACCTTTACTTGTGGTAAATAAATAATAAAAAACATAAAGCACATATGTACATACGTCCAAATGACGGAACTTTTTTTTTTTTTATAAATAAATGGGAGATGGCGGCGTCACCACGAAACGAGTACGTCGCGTCCGACGTAACCCGAGGACTGCCTGTATATATATATGTGTGTGTGTGTGTGTGTGTGTGTGTGTAATTTTTTTTTATTTCAGAGAGGAAGGGGGGGGGGGAGAGAGAGACAGAAACATAAATGATAAGAGAATCATTCCTCCATGCCCCACACTGGGGATCGAGCCACAACCCGGGCATGTGCCCTTGACCGGAATTGAACCCGGGACCCTTTGGTCCACAGGCCGACGCTCTATTCACTGAGCCAAACTGGCTAGGGCTGATTTCTTGATTGGATTCAGGGACCACCCTCTTCTTGTTAGTACTACATTTACAGACTGTTAGGTCAGAGTGTTAAGGGGCCGCGGTTAAGACTAATGTTATAAATGACCAGTCTTGTCTTACTGTTCACTTTTTTGCCTTCTGATTTTGTCCCCAGATTCTGGAAGATTTAGGCCTGTGTGGCGTCCTCTTTAGGCTTGGAAAGGAAGGTATAGAAAGAATCACACAGCAGCCCTGGGGTTGGGGGCATGCTTCAGCTTTGCTTGCTCAATGGAGCTGGTATCATAGAATGTTTGCGTGGATGGAATAAATGGGCTAACATCACTGGGCCTTTTAAATCAGCATAAAGGTTTCTCTCTGAAACTAACATTTCTTTTCACCTTCAACTGTTCCCTAGGGATCTACGGCAGGAAGGTGTCCGACAGGCCCATAGTAGCTGGTTCCGTCTCTCCTTTGTCTACAACCACTATCTCTTCTTCGCCTGTATCCTGGTGGTGCTATTGGCCATCATCCTGTACCTTCTGCGGCTACGCCGAATTCACCACCGACAGACTCGAGCCTCAGCTCCATTGAACTTGCTGTGGATTGAAGAGGTGGTGCCCATGATTGGGGTACAGGTGGGGCCTTGAGGCTGAGTAAGGACTGTGGAAGCTCAAGTACTCCAGAGTTGCTGCTCATTGAATTCCACCACTTTCTTGTAATGGCTTCGGATGCTGTTTTGCCTGACCTGGTGGATATTTTGGCATTGGAATTTCCACTTTAATATCTTCTTTAATTCCTCTCAATCTCCAGGTCCTCTTATCTGAGAGAAGCTGTAACTTAGTCTGTGAAGAACTAAGTAATGAGAGATTGGTGCTAACAAAGGTGACCAGCCTTAGTCCAATTGAAGCACGCTTCTCCTTTATCTGAGAGATCTGGTGTGTTGCAGGGATCTAGACTTTTCTCCCCCTGCTAAAGCATGAAGTTTGGCAGTGGGCACCCTGGAAGCTGAGGTGAAACCAAACTTGGAGCGTCTGATACAAACCGAAGACATTCTAGCAAGTGCAGCAGCCCCTTCTTTCTCTGTAACAGAGAGATCATTTATGTGGAGGTCCACAACCCTTAATAGGGGTCCAAGATAATTTGCAGTTCAGTGGAACAGATATGAATTTCCAGGCAACCAAAATAACACAGCTTCTTTGTTTCTTTGACAAAGAAGCCACTGAGTGTGGACCAAGGTCCCTGACAGTGTTGCTGATATTAGTATGTGATTTTAAAAGGTTAGAACCCCTTCTAAATGAATGGATCATCAAAGATTTTGACTAAGTCTTATCTGATGTCTTGTATGACCAGGACAGAAAAATTTTCCATGTCTATGTGCCTCAGAGGCTGTTTGGGCATTAATTTTTCTTTTTGAGTCTTAAATATGCTTGTAGGATGGAGAAACTGTGATGGGTATTGGAGACCTGGGTTTGGTTTCAGGTCACTGTCCTATAGGCCTTTTTTAAAAAAAAAAAAAATTATTTTTTTTACTGATTTTATTGGGCTGACATTGGTTAATAAAATTATTTAGGTTTCAGGTGTACAATTCTGTAATACATCAGCTGTATATTATATGGTGTGTTCACCACCCCAAGTCTCCAGGCCTATTTTTATGAGTCCGTATACAGGAAGATTCAAAGGAGTTCCTTTATTTCACTGCTAAGATCAATAAAAGCAATAGTTTGGGAAGGGATATATTTGGGTTGTTTTTATAGAAGGAAAGAACAATATCAGGATAGTGGGCAAAGGCAATAAAATCCAAGTTCTTATTTATTCATTTTTCTGAGAAAGCGAAATTTTCTCAATTTGACTCTGGGTTTGTCTGAAAAGAAGCAAATTCTAAACTTTGGAATAAATAGATAAATCTGTTATTAAGCCACATGGAAACTTTCAGAACCTTTGTTAAAAGATTGCTCAGTCACAATCAGCATTTCCATTAATGAGGAGAGAGGAAAAGCCATAGTTATTGCATTTTCATCCGTGACCCTCCAGGAGCTTTGCTCCTCCTGGCCTTTACGTTGCAGGAGGATTCATTCATGAACTTCCACCTTCTCTCATGGTACGTTCTTTATACTTTATCCTTTCCTATATGTAGCCTTGAATGTCCTGCCCAAGAATGTGCTCCCAGAGTTGAAGTAGCTTTCTTTTCTTTGTCATCTTGATTTCTAAAATTAGATAACTAGGGGAAATGGACCTTGACTTTCAAGGGGAAAAAAGTGAAAACGATTTTTTATTTTTTTCTCCCTTTAATTCTCACTCAAGGATATACTTTTATCGATTCTTAGAACAGGAGAGAAACATCAATGTGAGAGACATTGATCAGCTGCCTTCTGCATGGACAATTCTAGCTATTTAGGTATGTGCTCTGACTGGGAATCGAACATGCACCTCACCCTCATCCCCAGTGCACAGATAATACTCCAAGCAACTGAGCCACCTGGCCAGGGCAGAAGTGAAATTCTTAAAATGTAAATTTCATATTGGAAGCAGAAGGGAATTAAATGCTTCATAAAACAGAGAAAAATCAAGGTAAAAAAATGACAAGTCTTGAACGGTTTTCAAATTAGATAATAATGGATCTGGCCAAGTATCTTATAGTTTCCTTTGGAAATATACTTTTAGGACTTATATCACAGTAATTTCTAAGACTTCTAAATTACCTTGATTTTCTTTGACTTATCTGTCACTGTAAGCCCTCGCCTTATGAATGCTGCTTATAAATAATGTCAAAATGTTTTTCTTAGTCCTTGCCTACTCAGGTAACTCTTTTCCTTTCACCTTGGTTTCCAAATACTATTTGCCATTTTTCTTGTAGATCTAGTCAGTGATCTAGTCAAAAGCTATCTAATAGGCTAACAGTGATCCCTTTCGTGTCTCAAAATGAAGTTGAAGCAGGGAGGAGGTGGTGATTAGTCCAGATTGAAAGCTCTTATGAAGTTATTCTTCCTGGTTATAATAATAATAGCTGCCATTTGTTAAGCCCTTAATGTGTACCAGACATTCTGTTCAGATTTTTATATATATTATTCAGTCATATGGCATTCTTTCAGATTGATATTACTGTGTTTTTTTTTACAGTTCAGAAACTCAGGATACTTATGTTTATAATTCTTTTGACTGTAAATGTATTTCATATTCTTAATTTATTTTAATTAGTCTGCTATCTCCTGTATATTATTTTAATATTATAATCTCGGCTTGTCTTTATTGCCGTGAGTAAAGCGTGTCAGTTTCATAGTATAAAATGAAGGCCACATTTTTATCATGCCCTTCAGAAAAACTGAATAGATGCTCTTAGTACTGGTTCCTGTACTTCTCCCATTGCTCCCAATTAATGATCTTAAATTACATTTCATTCGCTAGAAACAGGAGCCATTTATTTCTTGCAGAGGGGCAACTATATATATTGCTTTCTTTTCATGAAATATTTTTGCTTATTGAGTCAGACAGTCTGTCTTGCTTTTTAGCTGTTTCTAAAGATTTTTAAAAGGTTTCTTTTTGCATTTTTGCCTTTTGAGTAGTTCTGTGAATATTATTATGGTTTCATAAAATTCACATTCCAGTAGTTCCTTTGAATCCTACAAACTAGTGTTTCCAATAATAGCAACAATGAGCCTGAACTGTTTTAGTATTTTTATTATCACTGAGAGAGGTCACAAATGTCAGAACCACAGTCGGTGGCTTAAAGGGGTGATGTTTTATGGCACAACCCATCACTCTTCTCTGAGTTCTTATCACTACAGCATAAGGAAAATATGAGTAACATCCAATTATATGGCATTATATTCACTTAAGTTGCAGTTAATTCTAAGGGAAATTATACCATCTTTTTCTCTTTGTACCTTAGTTCCTTGAATTGATTTTCCTTGGTCAAGGAAATTTTAATCAGTTTCCACTATTTTTATTTATTCTTCTGATGTCATCCAAAATGTTTTGACTGTTCCCTCCTCAGTCTAAGAGCTTCCTAAATAGAAGCTCCTCCCCACCCCACCCGCCACCCCCAGCCCTATTCTTATAGTTTTGTGTTTTGCTTTTTGTCAGGAGTGAAAAACAGGTGGGTGGTATGATTTTGGGGAAAGAACATCAGACTTCATGAACAGCAGACTTGGATTCTAGTCCTGGCTTTGTCATTAACTAGCTCTGTTACTCCAGGCAAGTCACTTGCCCTCTCTGGTTCATTTCTCATCTGTAAAACAGGGTGGCTAGACAAGATGATCTGAGGTTAGTTCCAAAGGGAGAACCATAAGACATTAAACGCAGGTGAGAAGGTAGAAAAGTAATATGGTTTCAGGAAGAGGATTTTGGTCTTTGGTTTTGAAGACTAAGAGAGCCAGTGGTCATCTACTTTATCCATTCCCTCTGACATTCCCTGGTGCGAATGGAGTATCCAACAGCTATCATTATACATCCATTTCAGGGCATGAGATTTTAAAAGGGATTTTAGAGGTCTTCTGGTCAACCCCCTTGATTTTATAGATGAAATTGAATCCCAGAGCAGTAGTAATATGTGCTATTACTACTATAGCAGTAGTGACAGCTGCCATGAGATGCTCAGAATCTTCTTGCAAGATTGTGTATTTCAATAGAGTCTGTTCTTTATAATAATAGCTGACTGCAACTATTACTATAAACATGCCCCATCTTTGTAACTGCTTCTGATCTTCACTTGTGATCGCTTTGCTCATATTTAGGAATAAAATATGAAATACTTTGCTAGGGACAGTACCAGGTTTTCACTACATCTACTCTAGCTTCTGTATTTAATACTTTAAAATTTTAGATATTTTTTAAACAATTTGCTTAATTTTGTACAATTTTCTTTTTTTTGTTATTCCTCATCTGAGAAGATTTTCCATTGATTTTTAGAGAGTGGAAGGGAGGGGGGGAGAGAGAAACATCGATGTGAGACATCAATTGGTTGCCTCCTACACAAGTCCCAGGGATCAAGACTGCAACCGAGGTACAAGCCCTTGACTGGAATGGAACCCAGGACCCTTCAGTCCACGGGCAGACACCCTATCCACTGAGCCAAACCAGCTAGGGCTTGTGCACTTTTCTTAAGCATAGCATCCAAGCAAGTCATGTGATGGTTACAATCTAAATTATTTAAGGTATAAATGCCTATTAGATCTACCTCACTAAGGAACTTGGTTGTATTTCTTGGGCAGTTTCCAGATCCCTTACAGAAACAGAGTGCTGTTCCTCTTTGTTATCTTTAAACTTCTTTTCAATAAGGTAGAGGTAGCAGTGGATGTTTCATATTCTCCCAACGTAGTTTCTTCAGTTATGCTAGTGCCAGAGTCCTGCCACGAGGGCCATATGTTTGCCAAACCTGTGAGGATTTTGTTGGTGTTATAAAAAGTATTTGTTAAAAAATAAGGCCTTTTAAAAAAATATCCTAATAGACTTCCCTTGTATTATTACTCAAGTTTTCCTTTGTTCTAATATTTATTATTTCTCAGTACTTTTATTGGAAGGACAGAGGAGAAATGTATCTGTTGACCATTTTGTTTCTCTGGAGTCTGAGCAATAGAAATCCTTTTATTTGTAAAAATGAATTATTACTCATACTATAAGGGCTTTCTACTTTTAAAATGTATTCAATCATTGCTTGCCATTTTTTTTATTAAGGTATTACATATGTGTCCTTATTCCCCCATTGCCCCCCCCGCCCCCCATTCATGCCCTCACCCCTCTGGTGTCTGTGTCCATTGGTTATGCTTACATGTATGCATACAAGTCCTTTGGTTGATCTCTTCCCCCTTATCCGCACCCTCCCCTACCTTCCCTCTGAGGTTTGAGCAAAGTTGAAAAAATTTCTGAACCACAGAATGTTTATAGCCAAGCATGTGATTGAGGCCAGCCTGAAGTCATGTCTGCTCCTGCGCCTCTTCTGTTTTAGTGCAGCTGCTCGGACACCCCCGGTCGCCTGCCACTCCTCCACCACTCCACTCCCCACTCCTAAGCAGCCTCTCTTGCAGAGCACCTGCCAGGGTTTGGCCTGGGAAGACTACTGGTGCTGAAGGCTCTGCCTTTTATTAGCTTCATAAGAGTCTTGCTCTGCAAACAGGATCCCAAATACTTTGATTTCTGTCATTATGTTGTGTTTAAAATTTTTATTCTATAGTTCCCCGTTAGTTAACGCCATGAAGTATAAGCCTTATCTCCTTCATTGTTTCTGCCTTGAGCGATGGACTCTGTAGTGTTGAAAGACATCTTTTTTTTATGATCCACAGCAGACGCTCCCTTCTCCCTTTAAAAGACCAAAGGCTGCCTGTATTGCATCAATTTTGGGCGTTACTAAGATTATATGTTTTTCTAATGCTTCACATTAAATAATAATTTTGCTGAACAGTTCTTAAAATACTCGCTGATAAATACTGTTAAATCATTGTTGAGCAAACTGTGCAATGCATATTAGAGGGGAGGGCATTCTCCCTTATGCCGGGACATCGGTATATGTGTTACCTATGCCAATATATAACCCACCATTCATTCCAGGACCAGAAGGAAGGATTACTGCAGATAAACTGGTTATCCTAATATTCTGATCATCGGTGTTGGTTTTTGCAACCAACATCACTTTAAAGCAGTAGCTAATTGTTATCCCTGTCATATGGATAGCATTTGTCACTGTTAAGTTAAAGACAGAAATATTCTGGGTTAAGAAAAGCAGGTGTTTTAATTCCTTTGATGTTTTAAAAACAACGGACAGAATTGTTGAGGGACCTTTGAAAACATTGTGATAAATTCATTTAATCTTGTAGGTATGTGATGACTTGTTTTGGAAGAGGTGCCCAGGACATCAATCTTTAATTATTTTCCATTCATTCGTGCAATATTTGGTATGTGTCCAATACTGGGAATAATGCAAACCTAAAAATAATTCAGATAATCTCCATTCACCAGGATTGTGGATAGGCATAATAGTTATATAGCTTAATGCAACCAGATCTGTTTTTCCAAACTTATTCATCTTTAATAAAATGAAAATGAAGTAAAGTATCTGAAACTTGAACTTAATTCATTCGTTGCTCCTTTGTTGGAGGGAACTGTAGAAGCGTTAGCATATGGTTCTTTGGACTGGATCATAATGCCCTCTGGTGACTGTTATTAACTAAGAACAACTTTAGTGTGGGGATCAGGAGAAATGCTATGGGAACCTACCCCGGTGACTCTAGTTCCCTTTTTAAAATAATTCTGTCTAGAAGAGGTGATATCCCATTAATAGGATCAACATGAAAAATAACATTTAAAAAGGAACCGTTACTGTAATCATACCTAATTCTTGATCCAGTGACTTCCAGAAACAGGCAAAGAATTTTTAAAAACTTGACCGATCTGGAAACCATTTGATATGCCAAGTTCATTCTCTTAGCAAAATCCAAGTTCTTGTGCTCTAATGAGCTCTCAAAAGCAGTTTCAGTCCTACGCAGCTGATCGATCTTTTTAGAATTATTTTGGGACTCTTCGGAGTTCATTCATGAGCCAAAGGGCAACACTGAGCAGAGCCAAGGAGCCCGACTGGTGAGTAGCAGCCAAAGGAGTTGGAACGTACATTAGCAGAGTGCTAATGCCCAAGCCCACCTGTTACAGAGGAAACCAGGCAGTAAGTAAACCAGCAACCACAAATTCAGAGCTGAAACGACAGCATTGACAGCCACATACACAAACCTCTCTCTCCTCCCATCAGAGCATTAAAAATATATTTTTAATTTCATAAGTAAGGATATTTACAATGAAGTACATTCAAACAAAACCAAAAAACCCTGCCCTAACCGGTTTGGCTCAGTGGATAGAGCATCGGCCTGCGGACTCAAGGGTCCCAGGTTCGATTCTGGTCAAGGGCATGTACCTTGGTTGCGGGCACATCCCCAGTGGGGAGTGTGCAGGAGGCAGCTGATCGATGTTTCTCTCTCATCGATGTTTCTAACTCTCTATCCCTCTCCCTTCCTCTCTGTAAAAAATCAATAAAATATATTTTTAAAAAACCCTAAGATTTCCCTTAATTATCCTTCACCCTATCCCAGTTCCCCTCACCAAAGG